GCGCATGGCGTTCAGTGCATTCTATGACCAGCTTTGCAGTTTTCGAACTGGAAAAGTCGGAGAGCTTTATTCTCTGTTGCTTTGAGTGAAAAATGATGCAAATGAAAAAAATAAATTCAAAGTAATCCCTACTTTGACAAAATGCCGCGATCACATTTAACGTTACGTTTAACCAATCATATCGCGGCAACCTTCCGGTGTCATTTCCTGCTTGCAGTAGTTCTGGCGAGCGCTACTACTAGTTATGCAGTCGGCACCGATGTTCTCAAGCGTTAGAGGGCCCCGTTAAGGCGTAGGCTTGTCTGTCGTAGCCACCCCTTGTACGCGAAACGTTCACTAGATGGCACTCGCGTCGTTCGAGATGTTTCGATAAACAGACAGACGGGAAGATGGACAACGGTCGGACGCTTCGCCCCACTCCTCATCATTAATGCCTAGTTCACACGGAAACATCCGCTTTCTACAGCGACCGAAATTCCCCTGCCGCCGAAACGCAGCGTCGTTCGCACTGGACGCGCCCCGCGCCGCCGAATATGCCATCTACTACGGGGCGAACGCGGGATGGATGCGCTGTCACCCGGTTGTTGTCGCAACTTGCAAACGCCACTACGCTATCCGGTGGTGTATACTTCGACGATTCTCGTACGCAAGAAGCAAGAAAAGACAGTACTGCTTACTTTGCTGGCAAGTGGCTGTCTTGTAATGCACGAAGAGCAGAAAAACCACCAACGCCAGCGGCGTTGGTGGGTTTGTTTTGCTCTGCAAGACCGCAACAAGCTCGGTCACGCCAACAGCAAGCTCGGTCACCTCTTTCACGAAATATGGAGGCGAAGTAGGCACAGAGTAGGTTAAACTCCCGTTGGTTTCAACATTCAGTTACGTGCACTGCGGCATAACAAGTGAGTAGGGCTTGGCCGCCATTTTTCGAAATTCCTTGACTAGCGCTCCTATTGGTCCGCGATGACCGATTCGACGGCAGACGCCGCAAAAATCGGTCCGAGAGCGATCGACGCGGAGAGGGCCCTTTCGGCGGAACTCGCCGCCGCCGAACCGGATTCGGAGCACTTTCGGCGGCCGGAATGCTCAGTGTGAACGCGGCCTAACTCCGTGAATATGCTGTGATTTTTTTTTTGCCAGAAGTTAGAGCATACATGCGAAAGATGGGTGAGAAGTGAAAGGAGGTGGGACGGGAAGGGGGGGGGGGGGGGCGGACTCTGTAAGGTGACGGGCAAACGATTTCGGCGTGCGCTCCGAGAAAGCATGTCCGCATTACCATATTTCGAAAATTTACTGGCGATAAGTGCCAACGCAGGCCCGAGGCGCACGTCGTGACGGATTGCCCTGGAAAACTTTCCCGAAGTGAAGCAAATGCTCTAACTGTGTGTAAGCCCCTTCACACAAACACACGCGCATTAACGCCTCGTACTAAACAGTGCAGCACTCGTCGAAGCTTGGGCCGCGGCGTCATTCAGCCTTCAATCAGGTGGATGGGTAATCTCATGGTACATTCGTCTGGCTCTTTCGAAGTTCTCCGGATGCTATGAATAAATGTAAAAGAGCGACTAAGCTTTACGCTAAAGGACTAAACGTGCCAACACGGGCGCAAGAAAGAAGTGGACACACCGTGAATGCCGTCTAATCACTAACGCACCCTGTCTTCCAGCATGGATACGCACCAACTGCACACTCATCTCTCTGTTGTTATAAACATTACTACCAAAAAAGCCGGCAAGTACGTGATAATAAAAAAAGGAATAAGAATTGCGTGCTTCCTTGTTGTATATATATAGAACTTTAAAGACTGTTGAATTCACCCCATTCAAACATGGTTAAAGCACTCTCCAACGACCACCCGAATGTACCTATACTGTTTCGTTGTGAGAGTTTTTTTTTTTTTTTTTACTCCTTCGTGTTCCACTGTGAGTTAATGTTTTCAATCGCGCTAGGGCGAGAGAAGGAAACAAACAGTCGCCAAATATTTTTCAAGGCTTCGTGGTCAATCACAGACCTCGAGGGCGGGAGGCGAGGATGACTTGCGATGTATTTACAAAATTTTGCCGCACGTATCATCATCATCAGCAGCAGCAGCAGAAGCAGCAGAAGCCTGACAAAGCGCAGTGCAGGACAAAGGCCTCTACCATGATCCGCCAATCAACCTGGTCTTGTGCTTTCTACTGCCACGTTATACCTGCGAAGTTTTTATTCTCGTCAACCTATTTATCACCCCTTCGTGCGTTTGCCTTCTCTGGGAATCCAGTCAGCTGCCCTTAATGACCAGTGGTTATCCGGCCTAGGTGCTACGTTCCCGGTCGATGTCTATTTCTTCTTCTTGATTTCAACTATGATATCCTTAACCCTCGTTTTATGACCCACTCTGCTCTCTTCTTGTTTCTTAAGGTTACACCTATTTTTTTTTTTTCATCACTCGCTGCGTCGTCGTCAATTTGAGCTGAACCTTCTTTGTAATCCTCCAGGTTTCTGCTCCGTAGGTAAGTACTGGCAAGATGCAGCTGTTATATACAATTGGGGGTTAGGGGCAAATTACCATTCATTATATGAGTATTCTTGCTGAATTTGATCCGCTCCATCTTTATTCTTCTAGTTATTTCACTCTCATTGTTCGGCTCCACGGTTCCTACATGTCCTAATAAGGTCTTTACAACTTCTAGCGTCTCAGCACCTATCGCAAAGTTATGTTTTCTGCCAACACAGTTGCACATTATTTATTTTTGTACATATTAATTTTCTGATCTACTCTTATGCTTTCCGTGTCCAGTTCCGTAATCATCTCACATGATCCGACATGTAGTTGTATGTAACTCAACCGGCTTGTTAGCATAATGCGTTCAGTTGAGGACAAAAATGAAGTAACTGACGGACACGTCTGTTACTCCACCTTTGTCTTTGTGTGTTTTCGAACCATGTTTAACCTTATTTGTTGGGGTTTAACAGTCCAAAACTACATCATTATTAGAGACGCCGTGGTGAAGGACTCCGGGAATTCGCGCCACATGGGGTTCTTTAACGTGCGCCTAAATCTAAGTACAGGAGCGTCGAGAACTTTCGTCTCCATCGAAGATGTGACCGCAGCGGTCGGGGTTCGAACGCACGACCTACGTGTCAGCAGTCGAGCTCCATAACCACTTGGCTGCCGTGGCGAGTGTCCAAGCTATGCTACAAGCCAGTGTACGATGAGCAAACAAGTCCATATTGGTACCATTGTGCGCAAGGGCGAGAAGTCCTTACAGATCTGTGGAGTGTTACCAGAGGAGGTGACTTGCGAATAGCAAGGATCACTTGCAAACAAAAGGCTTCGTGCAATCCGGCCTTCGAAAATGCAGTCGGACGGTGGCCGCTGCAGTGCACAGATTTAGTCAAATCGAGAGAGCGTGGCCCATGGCGCGCGAGTGTGGACGCCTCTGGGGAGGAAGAGAAAAACAAAACATTCAAGGGGAGCGAAAGTGGGGAGCGGAGAGGAATAAACGCGCGCATCGGGGAAGAGCAGCATGCAAACAGGCTTTAGTGCGCGATCAAATAAGATAAAAGGGCTGATTGATTACGTCTGGGACCGGGGCGTTCAAAATACGTTCGCGGCGATGGTGCTTAGCAATATTCCCACGAGGCTCAGGAAACTTTCGTTTCTTCATATTTTTATTTTTTTCTTGTTTTTGGCACTGCTTTTTCAACTTTTTTTTTCTTCTTCTTCTCCTTAGTGAAGTTTTCAGACCAATCAATAACGGCGGGAGGCATTAATTGAATGCGTGCGTGTAGCCTAGACGCCTTGAAAACGCGATTATATGAAGTGGATTCTAAATGTGTCAAGGAGAGAGGAAAGGAGACATTCCTTGCCGGCCATTGGCTGGATGTTTCGAGGCAGTATTCAGCTCGGGCCGTGATTCACATGACAAGTCGTTCAATTTTTCCCTTATTTTTCTTTGTGACCAGGGGCGGCTAAAATCACGGCGATTCTGGCAGTGCGGACAAAGTTCTCAAATATCGGAGTAATGGTTATAGGTTAAATGCTCTGGAGGTGCCCTCTTTACAAAGAAAAAATGAAGAATTTTCTGAAAACTCCTTTCATTTAATGCTCACGAGTCCGGTTCTCATACAACTCGCAAGGCTGTCCAGAAGGCCCACGATGAGGCGGTGAGGCTCGGCCTCCCCGTCCCAACGTGGGAGCGGCCCGCGATCCTGCCCCTATAAAACGGGGGTGGAATTTTTCAGGACCCCAATAAAAGTTTTTCATCCATCATCGATCCAACCAGGGGCAGGTTCTGCCTCTATTGAACAAAATGGTGCTAAACCGCCGCCAAATAAGCTTCCAGACAGCGTCGAAAAAAAAATCTCATTTACAAAATCTATCTATCTATCTATATATATACATATATATATATATATATATATATATATATATATATATATATATATATATATATATATATATATATATATATATATATATATATATATATATATATATATATATATATATATATATATATATATATAATCTCATCAGAAAAAAGCACACTCCCTTTCTATGTACATTTTCTTTTTTAAAACTATGGAACTTTTATGCACTCCAAAGAAAAAAAGTATTTCGGGTGTCTTTCTGCCGCCTAATAATCATAATGTGGCTTGCTTTCGTTTCCATTTCACAAAACAGTGCTATGTCACGCTACTAGCACGATTATTATCGTTGATCTCCTTCTGAGCGAGGTGCGATAACTCAAGGAAAGACACACGAGATAATCGTTGTCTGACGTGGACACCCTAATTACGCTTTTTTTAGAACAGTAATGTGTTGCTCGTTGAACAATAAAAGTTGTGATTTTGTGCCGCATTTTTATTTTGTGCAGCAGAATATTTTGTCGGTACATTCGAGTTGTCTACTTCTGGGTGTTCGCTATAGCGATGCTTCTGTGAAAACAAAATTAATGTCTTGGTGACTGACTTCCTTTCGACTCTCTTCACTACTCTTTCTTTCTAGGCGTCGCAAGGCAACGAGGACGTGTCGGTCATTCCAGAGATGGAGTTCTGCCAGAGCCATAAGATGACCATCTTCCTGGGCTCAATATACGCTTACAAAGGACTGCTCATGGTACGTATAGGGATGGTGATGATTATGGAAAATTACAATATATAACTATTATGTAACAGACAGCACCCTTTTCGTATCAGCTGGAAACACGACTGAAATTTTTTTTTTAACGTAACAGTAAAACGAATACTCGTGAAACTTGTGCTTTTGTGGCCTCTTGTGCTTCATAGATTCCCTGTCATCTACACAAGCGTATATAGGAGACAGGAAAGACAACGTGGCAGCGAACCAAAGAAAACTCCAAGCAGCGCCTCTCGTCGCATCGAAGTCCAAACTTGTATGCGCAAACGATTACGCGTCCATGTGCTTCTACACTCATGCTCATCTAAGTGCTTCAATCGTATGCAGTTCAAGCAGGAAAGTTATAGGAAATTGGTTGCACTCATCATTATTCTAAAATGCAACGATGCCCTCCGTAGAGCATAAATTAATTCAAATGCCAGGTGATTTAACGGAAGAGAAGCGTTTCAGGAACATGGTTCGGTGCGTCTGCGATGTACAATGCTACGAAAGCTTTACTGCGTTTCTTGGGACGCACAAACCTACGAGATCACTTGAGGTTGTTAACAGTGGAACTGTTTAAACCGGTCGTAACTTCTCCAAAGTGAACAACAACAACGAAAAAAGAAATTCCGCACCGTTATGACATGGCCGCTCGTTGGCAACGCACGACCACTTCGGCACACCTTTGTGCCTTCTTCGCCGGCTCCCACTCTGCTGCGCCACCATCCAGCCTGCCTGGACACTGCACGCAACAGCTCAGTCACGCCAGACGTGACGTCACAACCTCGCATGCACTCAATTGATTTTGTATGATTCTGGCGCGTGACGGCGGCGGCTTGGATCACTTGCCATTATTTTGTATAACTTACCCCCGTATTCATAAACGCTCCTCGACTCGACTTTCACCCTTCACTTGGCAGAGTTGAGCCCTGCACCGCTGCTCGGCTGAAAATGACGCTGCGTTACTCAAGAATAGCCGCAAATTATCACTGATATGCAGTGACTTAACCTGCCTAGAGATGGCGCTGCGATCGGCTTTCTCAAGTGAAGGTGAATCGTTGAGTGAAGTGTCGTTCTAGAATACGGGGGTTAGCATCGTTCGATATCACTTCGTATAAATTTGGCATCACTTCGTATGGTCAAGACCAGATAGGGACCGATCAGCCCCACCATGCCCTTGCTCCACTAGTGCCAGCTACGGTCGGTTTTTTTTTTACCCGAGCATGTGAGGTGGAAAATTGTCTCATCCTAATTTTTCAGTCTTTTTCCCTTTGCCTATTAAGAATTAGCCAATATTGCACAGCTTGGTTAACCTCCGTGCCTTTCTTTCACGCATTTCCCTTTTGTGCCCCCCCCCCCCCCCCCGTGTAACGGCCGCTGTTCTTCGACGGGCGTGCAGGCGTTCGGCTGCTTCCTGGCGTGGGAGACCCGCCACGTGAGCATACCGGCGCTCAACGACTCCAAGTACGTGGGCATGAGCGTGTACAACGTGGTCATCATGTGCACCATCGGCGCGGCCATCTCGTTCGTGCTGCGCGACCAGCAGGACGCCGCGTTCATCATCATCTCAGTGTTCATCATCTTCTGTTCCACCACCACGCTCTGCCTCGTGTTTGTACCCAAGGTGAGACTGGTGAGCCCATTTCACACAACGCTCTACGTGTGGCTCCCTTCTCTCTCTTTCTCCGTCCGTGCCTCTCACTCACTCCACTCACTCAACGCACTGGCCTGCATCCCACCCCACTCTGCAAACGCCCTTTTTCCCCTCACCCCAGATCACCGCCCCGCCACTTGCGCAGCTCTTGCAAGTTAGCGCCGCAGCACCGAGCTTTCCGCGCCACTAGAAAGTGGCTTCGCGTAGACCTTGAGTGAACACCGAGCTTTCCGCACCGCCGGAATGAGGCTGTGACGTAGACCTTGAGTGAACATGGAGCTCTTCGCACAGCCAGAAAGAGGCTTGACGTAGACCTTGAGTGAACACCTAGCTTTTCGCACGGGCGGAAGGAGGCTTGACCTTGAGGGAACACGGAGCTTTCGGCACCGCTAGGAAGCTTGACGTAGACCTTGAGTGAACACCGCGGAGCTTTCCACACCGCCAGAAAGAGGCTTGGCGTAGACCTTGAGTGAACACCGAGCTTTTCGAACGGGTGGAAGGAGGCTTGACATAGACCTTGAGTGGACACCGAGCTTTCTGCACCTCCAAAAGGAGGCTTAACGCGTACCTTGAATTAAGTTTAACAACGTGTGGGTTTGAGCCTGTTGGGTACTCCATGATCAGCTACTTCCAGCGCAAAGTTTCTGTGACAACGGTCGAAACAGACCATTCGTGTCTGTTTCGTTCGTTGTCTCAGAAGTTTTGCGCAAGTAACAGCTGATCATTGAGTGAAGCGTTGAGTTCAACGGAAGTCATTGGAAACTCGAGGTGCTATCATGGGGAAGGGTCTTAGTACTTTGTGAGAAACACTGCTATGAGCTCACGCTTCACACTATTCAACACAGAAATTTGGGCTAGTTGGGATAGTAGTGAATAAACTTTTGTGTAGAGGAAGTATCTGCAGCTTTTTTTTACGGGGAGAGGGGTTAGACTACTGATCATATAGGTTTGCGTTTGTGTTTATGCGTATAACAACACGTGTAAAAGAGGTAAAATTCGCAATGTTTGAACACCCCCCCCCCCCCCTATAGATACGCCAGTATTGTACAGCTTAACAAACGCAAGCTAACAACCACACAAGAGCCACGTTAATAGGACGGGCGCTGGATATAAACTGATGGGCATTAACTGAAGCTTCCTGTTCAGTCTTCGTGTGTATTGCTTGTATGACGGCTGCATTACGCTTGGTAAGATGCCAAAGTTCACCAACCCATGGACAGCGCTTCACAATTTGCAGATTTAGTTAACCAGATAAAGCAGGAATCGTAGCAAGAAACTAAAAGGCGAAGATGGCGACGTATGCGAGAATCGAATGTGCAATGGCTTTTTGCGTGATTGCAATGAATTAGCTAAACGAACAGAATATAAAAAAATAGACAAGACATTGTGTGACCGAGCACCACGGCAAATTGGATGCCATAGCGCAATAAGTGTTTCCCTGCAGCTTTGACATGTCTTTGGAAAACTTTACAGAGTAAGTGCCTTCTGTGCATTCGTACTGTAGTTTTGAGCTTAACGAGAGCTTAACCCGAGCTTATATCGTCTCCTGGAAAATCAAATGAAAGCCTTCTCGTCGAAATAAATTGTTCACAAACTAGAAAGGTGACAAAATCCATTTATCAGGGGCAGGTTAAAATAAAACATTAATAATTGCAATCAGAACAGCATAGCGCATTTTGCTGCATAACTGCTTTTTCTTTCAGTTTGAGCTCGCTAGGTTTCGGATAGCATTTGGAAGTGCGCTTTTAATGTGTGGCTTATAAAATGGACCTAATTCAGCTCTAGTTGGTGCTGTGATGCACTGCCAGAAAAGGGGTGGGCATGGCTGGTGAATTACCCTAGCAGCTTCACTAGAAGCGTATGAGGCATACTTCAAAGTAGTGCAGACTCCTTAAAATAATGTACGACATGAATCTATAACACCAACAATTCACTGATCCACTTTCATACGACCTTAGCGGAGGTCTTTAGGTTTGTCAACGCGGTTCCGCTGGTCAAAATCATCTCCCCACGCTTCCAACACGGAAAGGGCATCTTTCCTTTTAAAGAAAACTCGCACGAAAATAAATATAGCTTGTTGTAAGTATAGCAGGACCGGGTAAAATAAAGTATTAGTTTTCTGCCCATTAACACGAAGGGAGGTAAAAGTGCCGCCTCACGCAGCTTTAAAAAAATAATCAACGTCCTTGAACGCAAAAGTTGTTCTCGCAACTGCAATTAGCTGATTGGGAACCATGAAGCAGCGTCAATTTACAACTCATCCGAGTTTTCTCCGCATCGGCGGTTCTAGCAAAGTATCAGAGGAATGGCGTCGTTACCTCAAACGAAGCGCCCTGCAGAAGCAAGGGCATCAAGTACAATTACTGCATACGCGCGCCGTTATTAACTATAAGTTTCAACGGAGCCCTCCGGTCAGACATTAACATAATAAGCCGATTAAGCGTGCATCCTCGTTAACAATGCAAAACACCCGCTATCTGCAAGAGATGTGCTGCAGCAATCTATGGAACCGACAAGTACGCGGTACGTGGATTCAATTCATAGGAGGTGATATACGTTTGGCTGCTTACATATTTTTATTTCATTTTGTTGCATATTGCCACGATGATTGCGGGTGGCGATGTTGACCCGATTGCTAAATACGTTTTTTTTTTCTGCGATGTTTACTGTCGCTGTCATGACTAGTTCTGAATAGTCATCCTCTCTGATCGGCGAACACTTGTTGTGTGAGCGCGGGCGTAAACCCTACGTCAAATACCACATTTGGTTATGTAGTTTATTAATTAACAATTATGAAGCAGGACGTCGTCCTAGAATAGTAAAAAGAAGGGTTGCGGTGGTGTTCGAAAAAGACAGGTAAGCGCAACGTATGTGACCTTAAATGCGATGTTTAGGCCAACAGGATAAAAATTTTCAAAAATAATGTCGAAGCTGGCGAAGTCACTATGTGATCGTCAGAAACACCGTAGTGGCACTCGAGAATTCAACGCAGTGGACCTAAATCCAAACACACCAACGTTGTTGCATATCTTATAGGCTTCGAACGGCAGCCTACGCGGCATGGGAATCGAACCCGGGTCGTCGAGCTTTGCAGGGCGACGCGTTAATCGCTAAGGTATCGCGGCAGGTATGATCGAATCTGGCCCTTCCTTGGATAACGGCATGCTTCGGCCGCAAATAACACACACATACAAAGTAAAGGAACACTCAACGACAAGCACAAGCAGCGTTTGTGTTTGTGCTTGTCGTTGAGTGTTCCTTTACTTTGTGTCTCTGTGTGTTATTTGCGGCCAAAGCATGTCATTAAGCAAGTATCAACTAGGCCAACAATCAGTAGTGTTACCCTTCCTTGGACTCCCCGAATCCTGCATGCCTCCGCCACCACCACCCTTGCTGCACACACATCGACACACTCATGCTTGTCTGCGAGCACTCTCACACGCGCACCAGCTTGGTACGGCATCTGGTGGTTGTGGTTTGCCAGTGAAGTGCTCGTGAAGTGACGTGCTTCGTTTGGTGTTGACGGCGTCGAGGACGCATGCGCTGAGACCTCGTATCGTCGTTATTTACTTTGTCAACTCAGCGTGCGATAAGAATTGTAGTTGCTGCAATCAGAAGTGCTGCATACGAATTCATGCAAATGTCAAAAGCTGCCGTTGTTGCAACGTGACTGCAATACAGAATCAATGCAGGACGACGGGTACTTTGCAACATACGCGACTGCTAGCTTGAATCTCAGGGTGACAAGGTCTCTTAACTTGGACAAGTACGGATCAACGCGGAGGACCGTCACGGCCAGAACAAGGTTGCCTAGAAAAAAAGAAAAGAAATTTTATACACGGTTACGTGCGGATGGCGTATTTCGAGGAGGTTCACAAAAATATTGTTGATCTCAGTGCGATACCACCATCACGTAAACATTGTACTAAATGTCTTTAATTGTGTTACGTACGTCGCCTTCATCCCTGCCTGGGTTCTGTATTTTTTCTTACCTCACTCTAAAAAAATCAAGTACTTTAAGAGTCTTTTGTGCTACATAACAATAATCTCCATCAACTTCGAGTACTTTCCTCGTGCTATAATCACGGTTCCGCTATAGGTCGCTTTCATGAACGGCCCGTGCGTTGTCAGTGTAACATAGCATTCCCACCACGAAAGTGGCCAGAGCCGGGTTTTCAAAAAAGGTAATGCTAGCAAGTCAGATTATGATTATTGTTGAGTAGCAGAGCTACTCCCCAAATACTCCATTTTTTTAGACGGCTGGTCTAGCACCGACATTCTGTGCTTGTGCTTCATGCTAACAATTAAGGACTATAATTTGCCATAGCACAGCGTTTGGCTGTCTTCAAGTTTTCCAAAATATTAAACCCCGTTCCGGCCTGCAATATCACGAACTCGCACAGTGTGACGCACTCTCACTAGAGAAACTCGAATGCGGCAGTTGCCGCAAGCATATTTATTGTGTGCGCCGAAGAGTTTGGAATTCTCGCCACAAATCTGCTTTAGAGTCATAAGGAAATAGCATTCGTTTCCGAGCACGTATGTTGTTGCGAACAAGCCGATGAGCTGATGGTAAAACCCGTTCTGAAGCTGAAACAGGGAAATGCCAACCAAAGTACTGAATGAAAGAAAAAGCTTTTTACCTTAAGAAATATGGCAGCTTCGCACTAGTGGGGCAAAGCCTGAAGGGAGAGCACAAGCACTCGGCCTTCCATGCCTTTCTTTCTTTCTTTTTTCCTTCCTTTCTTTCCTTTTTTCTTTCTTTGTTTTTATTTCTTTTTTCTCTCTTTTTTTCTTTTTCTCTCTCTCTTGTATCTATTTCTTCCTTTCTTGTATTTTTGGCCGTTTATAATTTCTATCTCTCTTTCTCAATCTTTTGATTGTCATATATCTTCCCTTTCTTTCTTTCTTTCTTTCTTTCTGTTTTTCTTTCTTTCTCTCTCTTTTTTCTTTCTCTCTTATTTTTCTTTCTTTTGTATCGATTTCTCCGTTTCTTGTATTTTTAGTTGTTTATAATTTTTTATCTCTCTTTCTCAGTCTTTTGACCGTTGTCTGTCCTTCCTTTTTTTTCTTTCTGTTCCTGTACTGCTCTGTATATTTCTATCTTTTCTTGCCTTTTTCCCCTTGATTTCTCTCTACTTTCCCTTCCTCTTTGTTTATGGCCCTTTTTCTCTCTCCTATATTTCTAGCCAACTGACGTCGAGTTAACTCGCACCTATTGTGGACAAAGTGGAGTCGCTTCACTCACTCTCTCTCTTTCACGTGGTCATTTTTCTTTTGATACTGGCAGCCGCTGTACTCCGGATTTTCCCGAATCCTGTGGCACATACCCACCAGAGCAGTTTTCTGACCCCAGCACACAAACTAAGGCCAGCTACAAGAGCTTCGCTGCTGAAATGAAAGGACCCAACGTTTCGGGTCCTACTTAGTCGTAGTTGATGAGTGACCCGAGGACACATAAAAGCAGTGTTTATACGGCCCCCTTATATATATATATATATATATATATATATATATATATATATATATATATATATATATATATATATATATATATATATATATATATATATATATATATATATATATATATTGCTGACTGTCGCTCCTACTTCTAAATTCACAGATAAACCCCAAAAAGTGGATGGAGGGAGGGCCGCTGTGATAGCTCAGTGGTTGGAGCATCGAACGCGTAATTCGAAGGTCGTAGGTTCGATTCCTGTTCACAGTTGGTAATTTTTTTATCCACTTTTCTTTCTTCTTATTTACAATCCATTGGTTTTAATAACTTCCCCTGTACATTCCTTGGCATTACTGTCTGTTATATCTCATTAATATTGTGTTAAAACACGGAAAAACGAGCCCTTAGGTATACACTTCTTTCCCTTATATATATATATATATATATATATATATATATATATATATATATATATATATATATATATATATATATATATATATATATATATATAACAGCTTCCCAGCGGAAAACTACACATACGATCTGCTGTTCAAATCCATTGTAACGCGAGAAGCATTGGCCAAGCAACTCGCGCCTATGATTACAAGAGCTGGTCCGACTGGGTCGCTATTTGTTGCACTCGCTGACTCGTACTCGTGCGTAATATATCTTTTTTTCAAGTTGACGATATACTATCTATTAGTTATTTCGCGCACACAGTGAACCCCCGCGCCCTCTGTCTGGCGTTCTCCCTTTTTGAATCGCAGCTTGTGGAGCTTCGGCGCAACCCGCAGGCCGGCGAACACCGCGTTCGGGCCACCCTGAAGCCGCCGAAGCCGAGGCGTGATTCGGACGACGAAAGCCTCTTCACCAGGATCAAAGTACTGCAGGACGAGAACATGCGCTGCAGGCAGCGACTAGAAGAAGTAATGGATCTCCTTTCATAACCCCCCCCCCCTGCCCCTTCTCCCGTACTGCCATGCATGGTTATGTCCCTATTGATACGATCCGTATGCGATGTCCAATGATTCCGTATGTTTCCGTAAGAATCTTACGGAAATATATGGAAAATATATGGGAAACATATGTATTCATACGGAAACATACGGAATTATTGGACATCGCATACGGATCGTTACAATAGGCATGCGGTCGCTTTGTGTTTTTTTTTTTCAGGAGCATTGAATACAAGAGTTTTATCAGGCTAGAGGTTAAAGGCCGCAAGTTATCCTAAGCGTAGAATACTACAGGATGAACGTCAGTGTCAACCCTACACTTGAAACCAGGGAAGCAGGACATTGAAATACTAAAGAAAAAACTACAGAAAAAGACGGAACGCGAACACTTTATCGCAATCAATCACTGTTGGATGCGACACAGAAGTGGTGTATAAATGATGGATACGAAAAAAAAGACGCAGATTTCCGCAAACATCGCTGATGTCCGGTGCCTGAGAAGTATTCGTATGACGGTTGTGTCATGTTCAAACCGTTCAAGAAGCACGCAACACGGCGGAGCCGGCCTCAATGGCATAGTTAAAACCAACGGTAGCAGTAGTCCATATCAACTGCGTACGCCACCACTAGAAGTGAAGTCATATCAACCACCAACCGGGTCTATGAAAGACACGCGATTCAGCGAAAAACAACAGACCTCTTGATGAATAATTTCTTCGTTTTCCTAATTGGCATAATGAAGTAAGAAGCGCCTGTAACCAAACAGCTGTCTTCCTGCACTTCAGTTCTTTGAGCCGCATTCACGTCACGAACTTGGACCGAGGAAGGTTGCAACCACAATCTTCAGATGGTAGAACTATACACTTACGTGTGCATCCTTTAGACAACTACCAAGGGAGCTTTCGTGCAGATTTTTTTTTTAGTACCATTGTGCCAGAAGTGCTTTAAAGTGCGAACGTTATGCGAAACCCTAAACGAATGAATGCCTATCTATTCCTGATTCACGCCCGTCGGCGTACTCTGCGCCATTTTCAAACGCTTCAACTACACTCATAATCATGTTCTGGGTAAAAGTCTAGTCATAGCTAGGAAACTAGACAAAAAGGGCGAGTTTCCTGCATATATCTATCATTTTACACACGACATAATTCACAGTTTACGTCTCCTGCACATACTATAGGCGTCGGCAAACCATTCGTCCAATTAAACTGCTTTAGAAAGACATGGTCACCTGCAAGGAAGCGTCATATTACATGGTGACGCAACTTCTTGACACAAAGGGATGCGCTGAAGCAGGGCTATTGCCGGTTCTCAACATGTCAAGGGCCTGAGGAGAATTTTTTAAAAAAATTGCTGGAGTGGAAATTATTGCCTAGGAGTGAAGCCGTGCCTCTGGCAAGATGGTGGTTGCGGCGGCCACCTTACTAGGGGCATGATAAAGTATCTCCGTTCAGCAATTAATAACGGAGCGTTTCCTTCGCACGCCCAACGAGTGTAATGTGGAAACTTTTCTGGGTCACATAGCGCTCCAAGTGTGTCTTAGTGTCACTAATTTTCATCAGTACACCTCTTATTGGACGCAAAGTTATTGAGAAATTCAGTCACCCATAGTCGTTTCTGTGTGTTATTTTGTCGGAAACTACTATTTTTTCATATAGAAATGGCGTAGAATTTACACTAACATATAAATGTGACTTGATCTCCAAGCGGGCACTACCAGAAAAGGACATGTTTCCGACGTCTTGGCAGGGGCGAAAGCTCGCTTTACTTCTGCTGGCAAGGCGTTGTGGGACCTTCCACTCCGGCAATTTTTTGTTAATCCTCCTCGCTCGGGCCGAACCCTCCCGTAGCAACACTAAAGCTAACATCCTGAACGCCGGAAATGACACGCGCTGAACTAGCCTGGTTTCGGTAGTACAAGGTGTAGACGTTGCGTAGTTTACTCATGCGCGTTTCCCTCTTTCCCCGCCCCGTCTCGTTTCAGAAAAACATTGAATTGCAGTCATTATTGTTGAAACTAAAAGACGTAGAGCCGGTGATAGTCGTCACGCATGACGCCATTACAACCATTCCAGAAGTCAGCTCACCTTCCCAACTCGAAACCTCAGAGCGTGGTAAGCTTGCCATTTCGTACCATCGACTGTCACTGCGCGTGTCTTTTTCTACCTGCTCCTGTTGTTAAACTGTCGATTTCGCCCTCTTGATTGCGCCGAATATCAGTGCCGTTTCTCGTTTCTGTTTTCGCCTTTCCAGCAGAAAATAGCAAAGAGGATACGACGTCAATCATCTCCATCAGGTCTGTTACTGAAGAGGACAGCTTCATGGAGATATCGGTGGAAAGGTAAGTCTCATCTTCTAGAAGGATCCGTTGGGAAGCTTGTTGGTTGGCACATGCATATATATATATATATTATATATATATATATTATATATATATATATATATATATATATATATATAATATATATATATATATAGAGCATGCGCTGCGCCTATTTAGTGCGTCTCCTTGTTCACCAATGTTCGTCCCTCACCCAGAGTGTTAATGCCTATGGTGTGCTGCTTCGCACAATTCTATAACAAAGAACCTCGCTCACCGCACTCATGTATGGACTTATTTTTGTTTTCATTTAGCAAGTGGAGGGCTCCGGAAATTTTGACCACCTGGTTTTCTTTAACGTGTACCCAAATCTGAGCACACGGGCTTACAACATTTCCACCTCCATCGGAAATGCAGCCGACGCAGCCGGGATTCAATCCAGCAACCTGCGGGTCAGCAGCCGAATACTTTGGACACTAGAACACCGCGGCGGGACGTCTGCAAGCTTTGTTTGTGCGGCATTTTAGAAAACAGCCGAAATCGCAAAAGACTTTCCTGTTTGCTCTTCTCAACTTTGAATTAAATCGCAGCTCGTAACCTAAAGTAGTCGTCGCAAGCGACAACTGCTAATGGTGAAAAAGACATTAATGTATCGAAGTCCGAACGAGTTTTATATCCACACTAAGATAAACTCTCTGCTAAAACATGTTGTTATTCAGCCTTATAAGTCAAGAATAATGACATAAGTTAGGGATTACCTTGACATTGCTTACCATTGGAGCAGCACACTGACGAACTCGCACAGTCGACTCGCTGGTGAGTGGCACTTATGTCTGCTGACGGCGGCCAGGTGAACACAACATGACAATGTGTGACGCCCCAGTTACTCCACTGTGCTGTAAGCGAAGTACGTCTTGGTCGTCTCCCTGATCAAAGGCAAGAACCCATCCGTGGAGTCATCGTAGCCTGATGACGTGTCTACGCAGATCGAGAAGAGATCGAAAATGAGGACGGCGAATGCAGGCATGTTAATAAGACAAGCGTCCTGCTCCCATTCTTTCCTCTTCCTGTTTCAGTCGCCCCCATCTCGCTTCCATGTGTAATGTAGAAAGCCGGTTGTTCAAGACTGGTTAACATCTATGAATCAGCTTCTTTGTTATTTATTCTCTTGCTACCCCCCATTAAGCACAATATAGTGGAGAATAGAGAGATGAAACGAGGCAAAGAATGATGATGCAGGCACATGGAAGGATGCCATGGCGTTCAGATTCAGTCATTTAAACGGCTGGTGTTCTTGAAAAGCTGTATGTGCTGAACAAATATACTTTTCTGTGCAGATTAGATGACAGAAATAAAGGGACAAAAGGTAGCGAAGCCAACTAGAGCTGATGTTTGGTTCACTACCCTGCACTTGGGTGGGAGTGACCTAAAATGTTATAGAAACAAAGCCCATGCAAACAATCTCTTATGCCCACAGCACAGGACGATACTAGTAAGCACATCAGTCGTACATGTCGGCTTTTTCTGACAGTTTTCTCGGTGCCACTAGCATAACCGAGTGTGAGGGCGGGTGGTTCAACTTTCCGATCCCTGCCCCTGTGAAAAAAAAAAAAATTGTGGCCACGCCCCTGCTGGATGACATCGAGGACTCTAGACAGGGTTAAGAACTTTGGTTTCCGACGCTCCGCTATGTCGCAGCCAGCTTCTTGCACAGTGTTCATTTCCCAGCCTCTTTGCAGCACTATAGATGTAGCTCGACTGAGACCTGGACCCTCTCTCTCGGGGTGTCGCAGGAAGCACTCGACGGCGTCGCTTCAGGGCAGCCCGGCCGCCATGAATCGCGGCGGAGGAGCCAGCCGGCAGCAGCGCAGAGCTAGCGTCCAGTTGCGCCTCACGCAGCAGCAGCACCACCACCAGCACCACCAGCAGCCCACGGCGCCATGCGGCGGCAGGGAGTCGCACCACCGCACCCTCGCCAACGGGCTCGCCCTGCACGCCGACAGGGCCGCCTCCTCGGACGGTGGGTGTCGTTCGACCCTTCTTGCGTACGCCTTCAAACGCGTCCGCCGTTCAAATTCTGGACATGGCAGAAAACACCCGCGCTGCGCTTACTACTTATTAGTTCGCTTGATGACCAAGCGCAATTCACAGCTGCACTCATAGGTTTATGACCGCGAAAACGTCAACACATGAAGGAGAGAGATGTAGAAGCAAATGATTGATTGATTGATTGATTGATATGTGGGGTTTAACGTCCCAAAACCACTATATGATTATGAGAGACGCCGTAGTGGAGGGCTCCGGAAATTTAGACCACCTGGGGTTCTTTAACGTGCACCCAAATCTGAGCACACGGGCCTACAACATTTCCGCCTCCATCGGAAATGCAGCCGCGATGTAGAAGCAAAGGAAAGCCAGGGAGGTTAACCAGGTTGCACCCAATTTCCCACCCTACTCGGGGGATAGCAAAGCGGATGCTACAATTGTGGTTGACCTCCTTGCCTTTCTCTTGATTTATTCTCTCTCTCTTTCTCTCTCTCTCTCTCTCTACACGGGCAAAGGGTAAAATTGGACGAAAGGAATAGAGTATGAAAGAAGGAAAGAGAGGCATAGTGACAAGATAGCACGAATAGGAGCTCCTGTACCACGCGTGCCCAGAAAGTCATAAAAGTGCGAGAAGTCCCTGTGTTGAGGTCGTTGATTAGCACAACGCGCACACTCGTCGCCTGATCGAAAATCCCATCAGCTTGAAGCGCCCTGAAAGTTCTGGATACCTTAGACAAGTTCTTGAAAGCCTTCTTTGACATCAGGGATTGCAGTGCATTTCATCTACGACTGTCGAAGTCGATCCGTACTCTGTGACTGTTCAAGACACGAGAAGGAAGATCAGTAGGACAAATAACACTGGGTAAATTACTTCAAGTACAAACGAACTTCTTTGCTTGTGGAACGGTACATGTAGAATCATCAGAACATATTCCGTTAATTCAAACTAAAGCTTTGCTTCATCACTTCCTGAAGCCATGAAACAGAGATGGGTGAAAAAAAAAGAAAAAAGCACAGACGAAGAAAGGCAAATGCAGAGGACGGGCACAAACTTTTGTATCTCAGAAAGCCAAGGCAACCTTATATGAATACACATAGTCTCGACATGTACATGCGTCTAAGAACAATACAGCGTCAAAGGACTTCATTAAGGAAATACCAGAAACACTGCCATAGTAGAAACTTTTCTTTTTCTTTTTGCTCGCCTACCCGACGTATGACGAAATAGACTGTGTTTTCGATGGGCACGTGTCGGGATACGTATTCATGTTGGGCTGCTCTGCCTTTCTGAATTACAGTTGAAGTTTGCGCCCGCTCTTTGCTCCTGCCTTTCCTCATCTGTGTTTTCTTTCTCTTTTTTTTTTTCGAGTGGCGCTTGCTGCGTATACGTTCAAGAGTGCACCAACTAAGCCAAAAAAACGAGCTTTAGCGCATCATATCTGTATTCTACTCTCTCGGCGAATCCGCACCACGTGAGGTTATAAAACCAACCAGCGGTCGCTTCCACACCCTGCTCCTCTCTCATTTCCATTTCCTGGGCATAACGTGTCGTTTATTCAACAGCCGTAGCAGCGTCGTCACTACCACAACGACGGATCTATAGAGTGAAATGCAAAACGCGAGAATGTCTACAGCTATGCTTATTGTGATGATTGTCTAGAGCATTCAGGTTCAATAAGGAAACACTGTGACATCTGACCTCCCGCAGAGTTGTCACCTCTGCTTGCGCTTCCAGACCAGGACTGCCAAGACTTCCAGTCAGATGAGTGTAAGTTAAAAAAAAACACAATCAGCTTGAAAAAGCAACACTAAAGCACACGCGCGCACATCGCTCGCTTTCACCCATGCACTGGTATACCGCTGAGCTTGACGCTGTTGAACTCTGCCAGAGTTACGCAACTGTTTCTTTTTAACTGTATTACCATAGGCGCGCCCAGGGCTCATCATAGGGGGGGGGGGGCATTTGTGGCAGCTTTTCCTCCCCCGAAAGTGGTCCGATCCGAAAGAAAGGTGCTTCATACTGGATGCACAAGTTAAAATGACGCAATGTCACGCTGATCACAATGACCAGCCTTTGGTCCCTGGCTTACTGGCGGTACAGTGGGTAAAGTAAACATGTGCATATCACAGGGTCCTTCCTTTGGTCCTTGGATTACTGGGGGTACGGTGGCTAAACTAAACATGTAATGCTTATCGCAATGACCTTCCTTTCGTTCCTGGCTTACTGGGGGGGGGGGGGGGGGGGAGCAGTGGATAAATAAACAGTTCTTAGAATGCAATAGCACATGGGTAAAAGCGACCATAGCAGTCAAAGGCCTTCATGGTCATAACCCTACATATTTAATGACTTCATAGGTCCAATGAGTGAGTGCATAGGGCAGACTTGACACCCTCCCTATATGAATCGGGGGAGAGGAGGGGGGCGCCTTTTCTACCTGTGCGCATGCCTGCGTGTATAACCAAAACAGAGCGCACGCAGTAAGCTTCTTGTCCCGGCATTGCGAAAACTTTCGAAAGCCGGTGCACGAACGAATCCCTCCACTTCCTGCTTACGCTTCTTCCGGCCGCTCACAATTCACGTATCGCGCAGTTTTCTTCACAAATCTGTCGGCATTTTCGTTCACGCTATGCTCTTGTGATCTTGAATGCTCTCGTATGCCTGCTTCCAGTTTCGCTGTGATGACCGGATGTGATTGATTGATTTGTGGGGTTTAACGTCCCAAAACCACCATTTGATTATGAGAGACGCCGTAGTGGAGGGCTCCGGAAATTTTGACCACCTGGGGTTCTTTAACGTGCACCCAAATCTGAGTACACGGGCCTACAACATTTCCGCCTCCATCGGAAATGCAGCCGCCGCAGCCGGGATTCGAACCCGCGACCTGCGGGTCAGCAGCCGAGTACCTTAGCCACTAGACCACCGCGGCGGGGCGATGACCGGATGTGTGCGAGCACTTCTAAGAAGGCCCACTGGTCATCTCATGCCCTCGCTTAAGCGTTGTTTAAGATTAGCTATGCTCGTATTGTGTTGCCAGCTGAAGGAAACAACGTTCAAAGGGTCGAAAAGGAGATACGCGTGCTCTTTGAAAATGCTATAGAGAGGGATCAGATTAAATGTAATATGCACGTAGTTGGTAAATAAATCAATACACGTGTCCGGCCTGTTGTTTAATATACAAAGAGCTTCTTTCTGCTCTCCTATAACACTTGTTACTCTAGCTAGTGCTATGAGTTCCGAGTTTATAACATTCCAGTTTTTGAACTTTTGCAACGACGAGAATCTGAAATTGTGCTGTTTAAGTTGAAACTGGTATGCTGGCAAATTGATGGCACCCTTCTCGTTGCCTGGTTTTGTTTGAAAATGTCGCTTTTCTGTGTGTTTGTTTTTGCAGAAAGCTTGTGCCGCGAATGGCGCCAACGTAGATTATGAGAACTTTATCGTATGCATAAGTGATGAAAGAACGAAAATTTTAAGTGGAGCCAAGAGAGAGTCCAATTGCACATCGGCAGCTCGGGGTCATGTGAACTGATATGAAACGTCACGTATGACGTCTTACCACCACCACAATTTGAATGAAAGAGAAACGCTCTGCCTGACGTTGCATAGGTATCCATATTTTCGCTGTTTCAGTACTTGGCCCATGTAAGTTTAAATTCACGTTGACGTCTTTCACTTGTCACATGAAGTTCGTCTCCCTGTGAATGCTGGTTATGTTTAGATAGTGAATCTACTGCTTCCGAAATTCCTTAGAATACAAGTCTAGAAGCTGGGACTAGTTGATCTAGGTTCATGATGGTGAATTTTACGTCGCGTGAACACATGGGAAGAAATGGCACAGAGATTCGGCAGTTGGATGTCAGCGCTCTTTTTGACTGTGTCCCATTTTTTTTCTTAGGTTCACCCGCTGTAAAATTCACCATCTTGATCTCTAGATTACAAGAAAAAATAGTATTTCGACTTTTTTTTCTGGGGGGGGGGGGGGAGCGGCGGGAGCGAAGTCCTCACTTGCTACTGACATGAATCATCTCAAGGGACTCGCGTACTCCCTTAAAGAAGAGATTCTCTCTCCAGAGAGTCGTGGGACTCACAAGGAAATTAACGTGTCTTAAGACAAGTCAGATCTCACCAAAGCGAGTAACAAACGCTATTTTTTTTTCTAATCCTTTGGAAGCGCACCTCGTCTTTGTAAAATGACACAGCGTTTCTGTTAAACGTCTCATACCGATCTCTAACAGTTGTTCCTCTTCCTCCCCACTCAACATCGGCTTCCCACTGCCACACCCCCCGTGTGCCAGCAGCCCCGGAGGCGAGCCCTTACCAGCACCACCAACAACAGCACCAGCAGCAGCAGATGAGCGTGCGGCGGCGTGCCAAGAGCCTCGGGGCCCTGCGCGGTCCCGAGCAGCCGTCGTCATCCTCACAACACCACCAGGCGTCGGGCACGTCCCCGTCGGGCACCGCCACGGTGTCTCTAATCGAACCCGACGGCGCTCCGCTGCTGCCGTTCCTCTTCAGCCGTATGGTGCAGGACAGGACTGCGCTCTACTCCAGCTACCCATCCATCAAGTGTGATATCGTCGAGTACTTATGAGGAACGCTTCTAGCCTTCGCTTCCTCGTCTCGCAAGCTCAAAATGTGAAAAACCAAAAGGGCAGGGGGTGAAGGGTCCTGTCCAGCCCCCCGCCGTCCACTCGGCAATATGCAACGTGCTTCGCGTTCCCGCTCTACGTGTGCCGTGTCGTGGTGGTAGTGGTGGTGGTGGTTCTCACCCACTGCTGCCACGCCTCTGATGAACTTACGGCAGCGGAGGGATGATGCCCCGGGTACGGAGAGGAGTCGCGGAATTGTGTTGTCGTCGCCATCGCCCCCTCGATGCAGGGAGGCCTGTGTTCTTCGGCTGTGGTGCTTGCTGCATTGCCGGGCGCCAGAGTGTATAGTAGTGGTGTTAGTGTTTGTAAGGAGTTCTCGCCAACAGAGGACGAAGAACAGGTGCTCAAGGGCGGGAGGTCATGGCAGGTGGGGCGTATATACGGAGGAGACGCTGCTGTGGCGAGCGGTGAATTTGAGTAAGGGCGAGTGTCCGCAAAGGTCTGGTGTGGTGTCACACGGTCGAATGGAGGAGAATTGGCTATGGTGTTGTAAACTCGGCAGTTTGCAGGCCTGTGGAATACCACAAAGTCTCACTTCTCGAGAAACCCGAGGTGGGGACGACTGGACAGCGCTACAGCGTTGAAAGTAATTGCAAGGTTGAATGGAGTGATTTCGAAAGAGACCATCATGGAGCTTTGTCCGAAGCTTAAGACTGCCCTTAGTGATGATTTTATCTGAGAGTAGGCCTTACAAGCAGTTTTTTTCTCTAAAATTGAGAGAGACAGGAGGAGAGGCAAGGACACCTATGGTCCAAACGTTTTTTAACAGACTGATGATCTTCTCATTCCTTGATTTGTCACGTTGCTTTTGCGCTGTTTAGCAAGTTCCATTGTTTTTGCTTTCGTATCCGCCTACTTCAACTGGTCATTTTTACTATAGCACTCCTGTTACAATACTTCAGAAGGACAAGTGTCACGGTAATGTCTAGCGTTTAAAAAAACAATTTTACGTGCTCGGCTACTATGTCATCCCGCTTGAATATTACGCATAACGCAAGTTTAAGAACATTTGGCCAATGATGATCTAAAACAATCTCACACTGCATCACGGAAACAATCAAAATCATCATCACAACACTACGTAAGCAATGTGACCACTTCACTTAAGAGCACAAACGCCCTTGTGATACTGTGTATTGTTCCATCCGCCAGGCTTCAGCCGCCTTTGAGAGTTGTTCTCGCAATGCCGTCTTTCTTGCAGATGGGTCTCGTTCATTACAGACAGGGCTATGTCACTTGCTCGCTCTCAACAACAGCGAGAGTACGAACAATTGTTAATCATAAACGCCATTCTGCTGCCGTGCTCCTGTGCTACCATTCTGATAGGCGATACCCACATCACGAGGTAAATTCCCTTTTGTTTCGGTTCAGACGGGTGGTTGTCTGTCGGTTTACTTGATGGCAATCGTTAAGACGGGTGGTTGTCCGTCAGGTTAGTTGATGGCAGTTGTTATAACAAGACAGTGTTCGGGAATGGGAAACATTGATGCGTGTTACAAGATGTTTGGCGGGTTGAAAGCTTTAAACATTGATGTGGTGATAATTGAGGGCGTGGTCCCGGATGAGGAAACTCCGTTTGTTACCAGCGTTTGCAGTTGGGTATTGCCACCGCACACAGTTCTCGAGCCGTGCTGTACCGCTTCTTTCTTTCAAACCCGGCTCGCGTAGTACTGTGCGAGGAACCGGAACTGTAGCCGTTGTTGCGGCCATTCATGTACAAGACCTTTGCAATCAATGTGTATAACGTTGGGGAAAACTTGTGTACCAAAGCCTCGAAGATCTTTCCTGTCACAGTCGTAACGTCCGGTCAACTTTACCCTGTCACCTATGCCGGCGTTAGTTTTTACGATACTGGGATTTGTACCTAGTTCACTGTGTGCATACAGGGAAAAATGTAAAAAAAAAGAGTCGATACGTTGTAGCCCGCGTCAGCGAATCGTGTGAACCCCGGGCACTGGGCAAGCGTTCCCGCCTCTCCTCCTCACCCAGCCTTACATCACCTCCTTCCCGATGGCCTCACTAACTTTTTTTTGTTTTTTGCACCAACAATGCCGGTACTCTTACCCCCGTATTCTAGAACGCACTTTCACTCAACGCTTCACCTTCACTTGAGAAAGCCGATGGGAGCGCCATCTCTAGGCAGAGAAAGTCACTGCATAACAGTGACAATTTGCTGCTATTCTTCAGTAGCTCAGCGTCAGTTTCAGCCGAGTAGTGGCGCAGTGCGCAACTCTGTCAAGTGAAGGGTGGAAGTCGAGTCGAGGAGCGTTTGTGAATATGGGGGTTAGGCTTGGGTTCACGAAACTGTCGTCAGCCGCTTATACGAATGAACGGTCCGCTTCACAAAGCGACCGTTTAATCACGCGTGGTGCGCGTCGAGCTCTGCGATAACCGAGTATAGCTGGACAGTTTAGGGTTCACACATCCAACCTGACAGGACGCGGCGTATGCTTTTACGGGCTATTGCAGTCGTTCAATCAGTATGAAACTCTTTAAATCACCTGTCGAGCGAATGCACTAGTTAAACAAAGTTCAGTTTAGTGAAAAAGTGTCGCTAGTTTGGGGATTGAACTACTTAACCCTATTGAAACGATACGTATGCGATGTCCAATAATTCCGTATGTTTCCGTAAGAATCTTACGGAAATATATGGAAAATATATAGGAAACATATGTATTCATACGGAAACATACGGAATTATTGGACATCGCATACGGATCGCTTCAATAGGGTTGGGATTGAACGTGGAAGCGTTGTGCGACCGCTCTTGTGAATCGTTAGTGTGCGCCAGTAACGAGTGCTGTGCGTGTGCGTTGAGTACACGCGCGCGTTAGACTGCGAGAGCGAATTTCGTGAGTCCTCAAAGTCTCAAACCACGCAGCAGCAAGTGTCGAGCCAGCAGTATGCGTATAGATTTAGACTCTGCTATGTACGTCCGGGGCAGTGAAGACGACGGTTCACAGACGCCTTGCCGCGGTCAATGTCCTCAATGTCCATAATTTCGAGCCGCATGGCAGCGCCGACCATTGGGCTGATTCCATTTTTTAACTCGACCTTCAGCTTAGCAACTGATGCGGACTTTGAACAAGCTGTAAGCGAAAACAAATAAAATAAAAAGACATTCTTAGAACCAAATTGGAATGTTTAAAGACAATGCCTTGCAAGAAGTTGGGGGTCCAAGTTTAGAGTGAAAAAGATGCCGCAATATAAAAAAAATGAAGGGATGTTGAAATTGGCGTTCAACGATCTCGACAGAATGGAGTACAGGCAAAACGAGGGGTTTTTAAATACGACAGCGGCCGTTTCGCTAACCTCTGGAAGCGTTTGAATGGCATATCTCCCTCGTTGTTGTTCCGTCCCGTTCCGTAAGATAGTTGACTTGAAGGTAATACTAAGGCGGTTTATGAATCTTGGAACCCATTGGCAGGCAGGCATGGTGGCACGTCCCTGAGCTACTTGAACTAGCCATAAAAGCGAGACAAGCCGAACTGAAAACTAGCGACACGAATTAAATACAGCAAAATTTTTCTGCATTGCCTCAGACCATTGTTGTTAACTTTTTTCGTTAAGCATACGCCACTGCTTCACCTACCTAAAAACTCGGTCATGGGTCAATACAAAAAGATTCGTGGACAGCCACGTGTTTTCATCCTTCCGTGTATGTTGTCTCTTTTTGTGTGAAGTAACATTTCTACGTTTGTTCCTCTGGTTAGAAAATAGCTAAAAATAATACTGGGGTTGCCCATGCCTCCGTGTGGTGTAGCGGGCGTGACGCCAATCAAAAAATCAAAAATATTGGAGTGCATTATGAAGGACCGGTCATGCTTTCCAGAAACACAGGCACAGGACAAAGCTTGAAATTGTGTGTCTGCACTGCATCTTCCGTCACCCTCGGTTCTCTTCTATTTTCACCTTTCTTAATTTTATTTGATAAACGTAGAACTTAGACCTCGTATCACAGAGAAGAAGCCTTTTGCATGGAACCGCGTCATGGGCAAGAAAGATCTTTGTTTCCTTTTGCAGCACCTGAAGCCTGAGCGCTGTGCGGTAGTGAGAGAAAGACGATGTTGTGTCAACGTGCAAACCACAAGATGTCCCTCTGTATAACGGTGTGTACAATGTCGGAATAGACTCGGAAGACCATTTAAGTAGACCTTTCGTAAAGAAACGAGTTTAAGAAAAAAAACGCGTTGCGTTGCTCGCTACCACAAATTCTGTGCGTCGCCTTTACCCTTATACTTTTCTACATTTCTCAGTTTTCCGAAGTGCGAGGAACATCGTTCAAAGCGAACAATTTCACTTTGAACGATTTTACTTTTACGATCTCTTCAAACGGCCGGTAAGAACTCGTACGTCTTGCAGATGGGGAGGCCAATTGTCTTGTAATGACAGAGCGTACGGCTAAGCGAAAGCACATACGGGCTACAATAGTCGTCTCGGTGTTTCACATCGCATGGGTCGGACCACTTTGGCACTGGGCGATCACGTCACGAGTGGCCTAAACGATGGTACTGTGTGAAATCTTGTGGAACTGCTATTGTCACTGACGAAAAGAGAGTACCTTTAAAAAAACTGCTCGTTTCGCGGATCGTTCAAACTGAGCGTCAATTCAACAATCTTTCGTGGCTAACGAAAGCTATTGTCCATTTACTGATTTCTAGTGGACTGTTTGAGAAATTTCGCCCGCAAATCTCAACTTGCGAGATGTTCTTGGTTTCATTGACATAATGAATCCGCTATCACATTAAGACGAAAGCAACTTGTAGCCCTCTAATAAAAAAACGACCTATTCTTCGATATCAAGTTAGACATGGGTCACACGGGCTTCATCTTTAAACAAATTGCTTTAAACAATGCTAGTCATCCTATAACGTTCAGCCAGACACACCACAGTCACGGCATCAAGCCTCAGCGTCCACATTCTCGAAATCTTCGCACAGACGTATTTGCTGACCTCATTGCAATCGGACACGAAATGATCCAAAGCGGTGTCTGGGTCCGTAGTTATTCTTGCATCATTACACGCAGCCTTCCCACCAACCATGAATTTGTCCTTATTGAAATAGTTAAACAGTTCAATGAAAAAAATAACGCTTTGCGTTTTCACGTTTGGTTAAGTCGCAGGTGTGGTCGCGAAAGTGTTTGACTCTGTGATTGGATGAAGTCACGTGATTACCGCATTGTGTAGCTTGGTAACTGTAGACGGGAACAGGGTCGGATGAGCGAGCTTTTTCTGTTGCGCTGCCACAAATTTTCTGGCCACTACGATTTATGAAGCTGATATTTGAATCACTACACATCGCGAAAACTTCCAAGCCAAAATATTTAGTTGGTCTCGTATTGTCGCGTGCTGTCTATTGAGCATGAACTGCTTACAAGCAAAACTTCTTTTTTTTCGAACATAAGAAGACTCAGAAACAACTTTCAATAGGGTAATAATATTTGTTGGTAAAACCAAACTCTATCGCACAGTGGACTCTTCTGTATAGTTTTCACTTTATTAATATTGAATAGACAAACAAGGGGCATATGACACAGATTTAAGCCATACTGAACGCGTTAATTTCAATCAAAGACTATGTTATCACTTCGAAATATATGTGAAAATTGGGTCACGTTTTCGAACAATCAACGACCCTTTTTATACTAATTTCCCAGACATGCTTCTGAAAGCCGCTGCATAGTCCTTTTCCGAAGGTAGGCCTTTTTTTCGGCTTGAGACTTTATCTTAATAAAGTCCCCCTTATCGAGTAGCTTTCGCGAAGCTTCTTGCAGAACGACTTCGTCAGGCTGAATCGCCAAGAATCCTCGTCACGAAACTTGCCAACTTGCTTCAAAAATTTCTACGGTAGTCGCCGTATTGGTGCGTCCGGAAATTAATGCGATCACGGCGTTACATGTATTACTACGCAGCAGAGGACTCTGGAGTCGAACTTCGGTACCGTACCTCTTCAACTCAATTGATTAATTCGTTCCGACTAGTTAATTTCGCGTTACGAGAAATTTCAACCCAAAAACACTGAGTCGTACAGGAAAGACAAGTACGAGAGCTAACTGCCAAAAAAAAAATATTTATTTGAAGCGACCCGCGTTATAACAGAAAACCAGCACTATTTAGCAGGTACGCTACATTTTACAGCAACGAATATATTAGGAAAATAGCCCGCGTGTGGTTATCACGCATGCACAAAACTTTGTTTTCATCCCATTCTGTGTCATACGGTGAGCGAGGTTATCGCTGCTTCTGCTGACAAAACCATATATAACACAACGCGCTTCGAGGAGCAAGCTAGCCCCCCCACCCCCACCCCCCGCGAATACTCATTCAAAAGCGTTAGAGTTGACAATGAGATCAAACGAAGGTCCTGGCCGAGTAACTCACGCGAATCTCGAAGGCTCTGCTGTCAACTAGCTTCGGAAGGGCTCACGGCGTCACGGAGTATATGCCCTTGCCCCTAGCGGCAATGTCGCTAAACGCATCCTGATCTCGGGGGCCTTCGTTCTAGCTGCACCAGTTCTCTCACCCCCCTACCGAAACCTTACCAAACGGCAGAAGACATCACAGGAAAATGGGAAAAAAAAAAAAGGGCAGATTAGCAGACGGTATAGGAATCGCGTCATGACCACCACGCTTTCTAGCGTACCTCGCTTCATCCGGCTCTGAATCCCCAGAGATCCCCGCCCTTCCCTTGTCCCACCATCGAAGGGATTTTTTTGTTCCTCGTCCCTTCGGTGAGACAGACACACACAAACACACAGAACGTGCGCTCCGTACCTGACAAGAAAGCCGTGCGCTTGCTTCGACACACCCCCGTGTGGCGAGCGCACCGGATTCGCGTGCCGCCCCCCCCCCCTTAATTAGGCTGTGGGTCACGTGACTGAGTGACGTGCGCCGAGTAAAGACACGCCGGAGAGCGGAATCAAACCGATGTCGTTAGCGCGCTCTGAGCACGTGCGTCGTTCCAGCCGCCAGGCTGCGCGATGAATGTGGTCGCTTCCGGCCGCTTTTCTTTGCGTCAAAGCAACATTGAGAGCCGCACGGTTTTTCATTGCTGCGTACAGTTTTGTCTGTTTTGCAAAGCGTTTGAAACAACTTTTTGACTATACTGTGCTAGCAAGCAATCGAACAACGAACGATTTGTGGTGCACTGAGAGCGTTCGAAAATGGGATATGTAATTGTTCGCAGATATGTAGTTCCCTTATCTGTGAGGGTGGCGGCCTGGTGTTCGAAAAATCAACTCTAATTCCAGGCTGGCGTAACGACGGCTTCCAAGTGAAACCGCCATACCACCTTCGCAGTCCCATTGCTACCTTTTCAACGCAAGTTTAACTTTGAGATTATCCTTGGTCATCAAGAGAACTAATTCTAAGCGAAACTTTGAACGGCGATAGTGCG